GTCATATATATAATTCCTGTTTTTTTTTTATTTAAATTTAGACAGCAAGAAGTTAGACTGTAGATCCTATTTATATGCTAATCAACTTTCACTGGCACACTTTCTTGGTAAAGAAACGCAACACTCAAAATCATTCGATGAAGTTCTGACCTTCAAATCTCGCCCGCCAATACAAAGCCTACTGTGTACTCCCAAAACAACACGGAAGTAAAATCGACGAATTTTATTTCGATTTTGAACCGCAACTATATATTATCTCTCAAAATAATTTCATCCAGTCCTTTTCAAGGAAACTTGTTTCTGAAAACTCGAGAAATTGATCATGCCAATTTATCCTCGGAGATATACCAGTATTAAACAATGGTGATTTGAGATCATTCTTTCTGCCAGTACGATCATGAAATCGGACACATTCTAGGTAGTTATATAGGGTCAATTTTTTATCACGCGGTACTGAGTTTACGGCTTTTATTTAATCTTATTTAACTTTATACTACTAGTATACAGGCTATAGCGTGCTGCGTTGGACCATATCATGACCTCTTTCGAAAGTTCATGTAACAGGATGTCATATTCTCAAGGAATAAAACCAAATGATGTTCCATTTATTTCCATTTGCAGTGCCATATTTGGAATCCGCGGAGTCAACAATAAATTCAAGCGAAACGCGTAATTCTCCCAGATTGCATAAATCCAAGCAAATGGTTTGAGGAATCATGCAAGTATGCAGGATAAAAAAATAAGCAGTGATGTTTTGTCATCATGCACATGTCAAAAACAGGTTACAAAGGGCAGTGACCGAGTGGTCATCATTTATACCTTCTTCGTTGTTACTGTGTGACGATAAAGTAGCATACAAACGTGCACAATAGAGTAATGATGGTCTTTAGACGACCACTCCCTTTCAACTGAAACGTAGGTTGGTCATCTACATAAATCCAGATCTACCGATACGAAGAACTGAGGGGAATTCCGTGAGTTAACTTATATATGGATTGGTCGCACACGGTGTATGGAATTTCAGCGGGAATCGTTAATTTCTTGCTTGTACGAGTGACAAGAATAGCCATGGACATCTATTGGCATTACCGGCTCGCTGTACGGTATATTGCGGGAAATAGAGAATTTGGCCCGAGAATGTCCCCCGCAGTTACTGAGGTTTCAACAGCAACAATACAATTAGCGGAACAAAGCTGGCCCGGTGTCAATCATCATCAACCCTGGAACGACATGGGAGCAATCTAACAGGTCTTCCGGATAGGTCAGATACGCTGTTAAAATGCTCAATCGAATTAAGGGTTTTGGGCGTTTCTGTTTACGAAGATGCATTCAGACACTCCACGGGGATGGACGACATCAAGGCTGGGAATGTCTGTGACTCCAACAAATCCTGCACAATCACGTCTTCCTGTTTGGGGAAAATGTAGTGTTCAAAACCTTCCCGGGTGTTCAGATATTAATTGCCCATTCAGACAGTTTTCAACTGTGGGCCATATCACTTTTAAAACAAAAGAAAGTGAAATTTTCCACGTGTTTTTCTCCGTGTGATTTTCAAAACCAACGTTTACAGCCGCAGTAGAATATTATTGAAAACTAAAATTGTAAACCTCTGAGTTTAAATCAGGGTTCAGACGAAGGAACTGTAAGCCCTTGATGATTTGTCTATGTTTTTTCTTTTTCGAATTTTGTTTTGGTTCTGGCTCTGGCCCTTCTCACGTAGTCGTTCGAGTATTAATAAAATTGATTTAAAATTGAATCTTTTTGTGTAACTTTTGTGTTCAAATATTTGTGACTGGAATTGACTCGAGCTAAATTTTTTTAAGCAATTCGACAATACGTTTTGCCAGCTGACTCGACTCGAGTCACTACGTTTCAATGACTCGACTTTACTAACTACTTTACAGGGACTCGACTCAACTCGAGTCACAAAATTAGTGACTTATTACAACTTTGACTTCAGTATTAGCATTTGTATTCTGTAGCTTTAATTGTATTTGTTTTGTGTATTTTTTTTGCATTGTAAAGCGCCCGGAGAATATTACTAGAAAGGGATGTAAATTTATTATGATTTTGAACATTATCATCAAATAAACCACACTTTTCGAATTTTTTCTTTAAGTGCAAGAAATAACATACAGGACTAAGTTCTAATTAATAAAGATTAATTTCCTGTACGTAACTTACTGATGCAGTAGTCTGTTAACTCCTTCTGTTCCTAGACCTATACATGTATATGCGTATTTATAGGGGGGGAAGAAGAGTTCGGGGTTTTCCTGAAGTAGTGATGTAACGTTATAATCAGAGTAGGCCTACACGTCACTGTTTACTGTAGAAAATACAACTGCGTGTAGGCTATAATGGTACCGGTATAAAGTAGATATCTCCCCCCCCCCGGTATGCAGGGTGTGCGCGTGTGGCCTTCAACCCTTTTCTTCCCCCACTTTGCATATTACATATGCGTGTATCTTTCGAAAACGGTCTCTTTCGATGACGTCTTTTCCAGATGAATTCAAAGACAAAATTCCTTAACTTTGGGTTGGGGTGGTAATTTGGTTTCTGAAAGGGCTACACTTTCGTTATCACAAAACGTGCGTTTACCACGGTGTAACTTTCTTCGTTGGAACTAAATACACATTTTTCGTTATGTTACTCATACCGGCATTTATAACTCACTCATTTATAACCGGACCCGCTCTCAGCTCTCATTTGTAAGCTGGAATAGACTCCATGAATTCTCGCCGTAGCCATTTGTTGCTATCATATACAGGCATTCACTACTCCAATTTTTGCATTTTGGGAACCGAACTAAATATTGAAGAACAACATGCGTTTGGTTTGAGTCAGAGATCAATATTACACCCGCGTCATCATAATATGCTTGTTTTAGAGTTGTCGTCACCCATGACTGATTCGGTGATTGACTGTTGCATGATCGGCTTTAAGTTTGAGAGTGCCGGAGGCACGTTTGAATCCATTTGGCAAAATAACTAAAAGAAAAATCATACCCTCGCAGTGTGAAAGACCGGTGGTACCATTTATTAAACGCAACTTTACAACGCAGTCAAGTGGATGCACACGCGATATGCAATTCTTGTAATAGCGCAATAGACTATAACGTATGATGTCGTCAATTTCACTCTGACAACTAAACATAAAAGCCTATCAGTTTCCTGCATGCTAATGACTGAAAATCAGACACTTAGAGCATGTCACATTCACAAACATCTTCCTAGTTCGGAAAAATGTGGAAAACATCGGGGGGTTTTACAAAAAAGGTGTTGCTTGCCTGAGTCCATACTCATACATAGTTTTTCTGACAAAGCATAACTTTGGGGAAATTAAACGTTTGACATCCTGCCTAAAAAATCGGGGTGTTTCATCTTAATTCACCTTTTTCGACAAGAAAGATAAGTGTACGGGATTCTCCCCTCCCACTCCAAAAAGTAGCATAACGCTTCTTGTCAAGAAACGTGGGAAAGCCTGTGCCCTTTTGGACTGGTCCACGTCCCTATTAAATAGGGACCGGTATAGCTAGCTGGCCTGTGGGTTTGGTGGTTGTTTAGCTCTGCGGATGCGCAATTGCTTTTTTCTACTTACAGAGATGTAAGTATTTCCAAAAAAGCAAGTAAATACGTCAGACAGTTGTGTTACGTGACTCAAGAGAGAGTGTTAATCCATTCTAGAAAGTTTTCCAAAGTTATGTCACGTGACAGTTCGGCATTGTAGGGAATTGCTAATGCTAATTTCCTCAATACCCCCAAAAGCAGGATTCCTTCGGAATGATTACCTACTACTGGTCTCTACGTTCGAAGGACGTCTGTAAGACGTCTGAAAACTACCTACGGGGAAGCCTCTAGGGTCCTTTTTGGGCTGCCAAAAACACGCGCATGCTTATACACAAACCAAATGGGCCAGTTTAACTTTCGTGCAAGCAAAGCTTACATGATGACAAATGTTAATTCAATGATTTCACGAGGGAAGCACAAATAACAAAATCATGAACCTTCATTACTTGGACTATTTGTCTGGAGGTCCATACTATGTGTTCCACGCTTGCGCAACCACATAAACCAACACACCGACAAACGAACAAACAGAAACTCGAAGGGAATTAAAGGGTAGCTGCAATCAATGTTTTTGATTACAAACCTGTACAATGCACCTTTGTGCCTCAGCAAACCTTATTTTCAACTTTAGTTTCACTATTTCAAAGGGTATTTTGATGCCTTTTTGATTTTTATGCTAATGGTATTTCCATATTCATGTGTAAAACTGTAATGTCATCACAGGAAGAAGCCTCAATGTTACATTGGTTTGTACACAGAAAAGTTCTTTGTTTTTGTAGGTTTTCCTGGACCAAATTTTCTCTTCTTTGCTGATTCATTGTTGTTTGTTTGCATAGCAATAAAAAAAAACGCCACCCCTCTCTCAGAAATGTTTTCAGTTAGTAAATTCTGGGTTCACGGTTTGAACAGAAATGCCTATGCACTGAACCATGTCTTCCCTAGTTGACTTCACAGCAACAGCGCCCTCATATCTGGGAAAACATGGATAATTTTGATTGGTAAAAGCGTGCACTTTTCAATGCATTTAACCAATAGTGTTTTAGAGTTTTCATACGTTCGAGAGCACGAGGCACTGATAGTAAGCACCAAGCGGATCACTATAATATGTACTCAATATTACCTGACATCCTCGTAACACCTCGTCATTCAGACTGTTGATGTGTATTGGTTTGTAATACTCATCCAGGGCTTATAAGGTCGTCCAGAGTGCTCAAGCAAAGCGTACTACTTAAAACTGAACAGTACCCTGTTGGCATTTTTGTAAAATTAACATGTGCATTTATGGACGTTCGGTTTCCCCTTGGTGGGCTACATTTTTACCTGTTGATGACTCACTGCACGGTCGGCTGATCTCGCACAATGCAGCAATGGTACAGTCCTTGTCCCAGGGCTGTTGCCAACAACTCACTGCTTCCATTAAACCAAGGTCTCAATGGAATTCATATTTGTATTATTTCTGTATTCATACCCTAGTAATATTCATCCTCCGGAAATGGTTTGTTGTGAGTCTGAGGATATGACCAAACGACAGCCCGTGATGCCTGACTGTCAGGCCCGTACCTCTTACTTGGAACAACGTAGGCCTACGTTTGACATTTTGCCCGATCCCACAGATCGTAAGTTTCATTACCACTGGTAGTTTGCATTTGGCTTTAATCTTACAGTAGATGGAAGTTACAATTAATTTAGGCTGTCTCTCAGTGTGTCTTAAGTGGGTATCTGGAACGTCGATACGATTTGAAGGGTTAGGCCTATGCTTGCTGTGCTGAATGGGGATGAGGGGCATCACTCGCAGAAAAGAGTTTCTCGTGCGTCATCGAATGTACAGGTATACATGCCCTTGGATTTATTTTGGAAATGTAGTTGTGAAAGATGTACATTTAGTTTCTGGACCGAGTGGGGTAGAATGCGGGTATTCTCACTTGCTTTTTATCCGCTCTCTCCAAAAGCGGCTGCGACAGCGGCCTTGCTGGCTGTGGTGACCGATGTGGCCGTAATGGGTTCCCTTCATTTCCAGTTTCCAGATGATTCCACTGTTTCAATAGTATTCAGACCTACAGTGTTGATCACACGTCTTTGTGGGGGACCAATATAACTATAATAGACTGTTTCTTTAAATTCACATTCCTTAAATACCCCCAGAAAGAGGTGAAATGTAATAATACTGACTGAATATATCGAATGACAAATTAACAAATTTTTTCTAGTTACCCTAACCATTTCATTTTGCTCGTGGATGCTGTAAAACACGAGAAGTGTTTTTATAGGGGTTTCCCTCTTGCTTGAATAAATAGTACAGTCTCGGAATAGAGGAACATACCTTATTTATAAGGAAGGTCTTTGTGATCATGTCCCCTGGATCAATCGTATTTCAACGTAATCTTTCAAATGTGGCATGGTGCCAGTTTATTTTGGGTTCCATGTCTCACTTTCATTTTTTAAAAATGTTACTCGATATTTAGATATAAATATAAGGTTTTAAATTATTCATCATCGTAAATGAAATTAGCATTTTATACCATTGCATTCATTTTTATTTTCAGGTTCCCAAAATAAACAAAATAAAAACCCTGCTTTCATTTCTATATGGCCAACTTGTGAATAGGGTCACTTCTCGACTGACTGTACGCTACAATCCATTCATGGATTACTGTGTTTTTAAAGTTATACTTCTTTTTTGAAGAGATGGCACACTCAAGCGTAAAATATAACAGCCATTGCGAAACGCAAGTTTTTACCTTAAAGTGTACTTATTTAATTAAAAAAAACTGCTTGTGAATAAAAGCCAAATATTAAATGATGTGAATTTTTTAAAGTATTTGACACTCGAAGCTTTCTAACGATCCATTCTGGGGGCCATTTTGTTTTTGTTTTACCACAGGAATACAAGGCGAAAAAAGGCAAAGAATGTCAACCAATCCGTTTGAAAATAAAATACGCGCGACTCTGAACTTCATACTTAAAGTCTCCGTCGACCATGCACTTTCCTCATGAAGCAGTCTTTCTTGCGATTCCAAAATATGTCTTGTTATCGCGGTCCGATACTTGACTACAACTGCAAATTGCACAAGCGCCCGTATTAAAGTTGTTTTTATTCTGGTGGGACCTTGCTACAAACATACTAAAGATATTATAAGGCTATGCAATTCTCTTATCTCTTTCAATTTTGTGTCTTTGAATAAACACCTGTGGCTGTGGCACTGCTAAAAGAGAACAGTGAACATATATAAAACTGAAAAAGTAAGAAGCCCTGCCTGTCAAACTCTTAATTTTTCTTATTTACTTACATTTATTTAGACTAGACATAGATTAATTTCTCGCTTTGTTTTAATCACTGCGTAGCTTTGTGCGTTCATGGGTTGATAGCTTGTGCAGCCATCCGTGACGCCAATATCCAGTCGTCCAAATGTACGCGGCGGTTGAAGAGGAACTACACAAAAATTGAGGATAAATTCTAGGCGCAGCAAAATCACACGGATCCGCTTGGAGTGGATTTTATTACTACCGTCATAATTATTTTGTTGGTGGCTTATCTATCTCGGTATTGAAGACACTGATCTCGATGGTGTGGCCCAGTACATGCTGAATATCACTTTAGTGTTTATAATATATACACGGAGTCTGATGAAAATTACACTTTAAATAGCATGACTAAATCCAGACTAAATACGAATGGAATGTGTAATTGTTAAATTCTGTATATTAAGTAATTCACGGATATTCAAGGACCGCAAACGTAATTTTTCACGCTCTCGCTGACGCAAAATGCCATCAACATTAATGTTGCTCCGCCCCCCCCCGCTTGCTTCACTCCTTTCCCGCACGGCCAATGTCGGAGTTGTTCGCTCCGACCGATTGTTCAAGCATTACGCCGGGAACAGGGCTCTCTAATAGTTCTTTTTCTTTGACCTGTCCTTGAATAGATATTAATCATCAGGAAGACCAATGGGCCCTGCTGTAACAGTATAAACAGTCATTGTTAATCTCTATGTTCCCATGACTGGGGCACGCAAGTATCAGAGGTTGAGGAAAAATTGCGGTTCCCCTGGTCCGGAACCAAGGCTGTGGAAAGCACAAAATAGTCTCCTTCAAATAATAACACTATTTTTTTTTTGCTCGGGGTTATATGATTTATGAGTTTATTGAAAAGAACATCCGCTGGAAGAGTGCCTAGAGAATACTTTAATCTGAAAGCCATTAACCGCGGGACTAGTTTGGTTATGACGCATGTCTTTTTTATTGTGGGAAAATGCCGAAGTATAAGGTATACTCCCCTGTTGCTTAATTTTGGAAAAGCAGCGGCACTGCGGATTCGATTCAGGTCAGGAATGAGTGTAAAACCAACTATTAAGGTATCACAAAACTGCAAAAGTAAGGCGTCTTTTTCGTCTTAAATGTGCTGGTTCCTAATTTAAGGGGATGTGAATTAAAACCTAATGTCACAACCTCCTTTTTTCCTTGAAACTAATTATCCGTGCCAAGGGGACTTCAAAAAATCTCAACATTTTGAGTTTTATTACAAGTGCAAAATGATGGAAATGGTGAACGTGTGTTAATTTTTCAATAGAAAAACTAAACATTTGCATTTTAAAATATGCATGGGTAACTAATAATGAACTTGTCCCTTATTGTCTTCTCAAACTCCGTATTATGCCAATCAATGGCCTCGAGTGACAAAGTTCAACCTACAGTTTCAATCGGTATCAAGCGTAAGCCCGAGCTCCTATCCTACTGTGCAAATATGGTCCGTGTGTGGCAATGTTATCCTCGCAAGAGGTCTATCAATACACCGGAAACAATAATGGCAACTCTAGAATCTGCCGGCTTACATTTCTTAATCTTGCCATTAATTAAGCTGCGTGTTATATTGATGGGTGCGGCGCAATCCCCTGAAACGCGGTCTCTTCATGTGGATATAGTTTGGTTTTGACAAATGATACATTATCCATGCAAAAGAGAAGCAGACCCAAAGCATGTAGCACGTGAATGCATTTCAAGCCAAGCACACTATGCAGCAATTCTTGATCTTAATTTATCACAACTTATTACACCAGCATCGTAAACGTGTTTTATCCGCAATATTTTTTATTTACAGTGATGGAACAAGCGTTCTTCGTTCAAGTTCTTGCTCACGTGCCTGACATTCTGCTCATTTGTATATGAGGAAGACTATCAAGTACATTGTACAATTATGTTTGCAACACTTATATTCCTAATGTTCCATTGTCAAACCGAGCGTGCATGGTGTCACTAAGTGAATAGGTGGCTCGGGCAAATCACGGTTACTGGGCGGTAAAAGCACAACATTTGGCATAAGGCTCCCTTACGGCCTATTAATTGATGTTAGCCCAAGGGCCCTCCGTTATTTTTCTAAATGATGTTTAACACCAAATTTCAAAATTGCCGGCATTAATCAAAAAACCCCCACTTTTCTCGGGCCCTGGGATTCACAGAAAGCCCTGGGTGGTTCCCAAATTTGTGATTTTAGTTACTCGAACGTTAGTTTGGACATCATAATATAATAACAATACATTTTTGAAATATTATATACAGCGGCGCACCCAGGGGGCATTGGGAGGTTGGACACCAGGTTTCCATTTATACCCTCTCAAACAAAAAGAACATATAAATACACGTACATCTATCTCAAAGCAATTGCTCTTAAATAACCGCACAACCCAGTCCCCTGTGT